TTTTCCACATTTTATAAATACCTCTTAACCTATTCATTCATTTATTCTCATTGGTAAAATTACTTGGTTTTTCCAATCATTAAGATAAATTAAGTGACCTGTCTATAGTACATTTAAATACTACCTTTAATATATGTAAGGTAACTTTGACAATTACCGGACTTGAAACACTGACCAGATTTTTGAAAACCAGAATGGTCTTATTTAAATACATGGCTACTCTTGCTTCACTGGAACTGAGAATGTGCATTAGCTATTTATCCACAGTTGTGACAATTTATTCACATCAAGTGCACTGTGTTCCAAATTTAAAATTACCAAGTCTTGTAGAAGGATGAGAAAGGATTGTTCTCTCTGAAGGCATTTAAAACCTGAAATTGACCAATCTTCAATAGTAAGACAATATTCTAACTCTTTGTTTTATAAATCATAGAAATATTAGATCATAAAACTACATATTTCAGGATAACAATTCTACATATTACAAATGGTTACATATAAAATGATTGCCGGCCTCCCTGGTGGCACAGGGGATAACGTCTCAGTGCTGTCAAGTTATCAGCAGCCACTATGGTCTGATGGGTCCCCAGCAAGGGATCTAACCCACATGACACAGCAGACCTCTCCTGTCTCACCCGCTGCTCCACCTCCACTCAGCAGTGTTTTTCAGTAGATCTGCCATTCTGCTCCCCACTCTTGTGTCTGCTGAGTCTTCTCACCACCCCACCCCACCCCAACCCCACTCCCGAAACTCTGGCCTACACCCCAGACCTTGAATGCATAAGTAAATAAAAACAAATCTTTTTAAAAAATGGTTACAGAATACAGTCAAATAGTTTTAATCACAGAGAACTCCAAAGATACTAAATATTCTAAATTTAGATTCAAAATATATTGAATACTTTGAGCCATCCTTTCAAGTGATTCAAAGTGCTTTACTTATAAGCAAACACAAATGTCCTATCTACAAATGATTCTCAATCTTTTTAGCAATCTCAAATGGAAATTCTGCAAGGATATCATGATAATATAAGCTATAATGCTACTTAATATGGAAGAAAATTCACCTCTTATTACAGTCACTATCATCTCTGGACCAAGTACTAGTTCATATTGCTCCTTATATCTTCCCAAAAGCTAACTTAGAGAAGTTTTGTGATGTATCATGAATTGCATATTAACTTAATGGATAAGTGCCATTAAAAAATATTATACTAACCATTTTAATTACATATCCCTTTTTCTCAGGATGACAAAGAAATACATGTGCATCATATATTTAACAGTCATTCCTAAAACATAAGCAGTGTTCTCATTAAGTAACTCAATCTTATTTCATGACCTCACAGATTAATGGTAATCATGTGGCAAGTTATCTGCACTGCTGTGTCCAACTCTACTCTTCAGGTATTATTCAGAAAAAGGAAATCAGCATGAAATGTGGGAGAGATAAGTATGTGAGGACACCATTAATAACATATATGTATATATGTGATATTCAATACATAGGAACATTCCATATGTATTATACCATTGTATTATTTCATATATGACACAGATCTAATATATTTATATTACATATATATTGATACTATATGTACACTAACTACATGCATGTGTTTTCCTACACACACAATGGTTATACAATACAGAGTCGAATCAGCTATCTACGGTTAGTCACAGAAAAATCACATGCTTTCTGTATGTTGATAGGAACACCAATATACTGTCTTTCAGAACTCCCTCATTCACTTTCACATACCAGTCAACCATGGCTTCCTAAGATTTAATTCACAATTCTTAACATGAAGAACAAGATAAAAAGTATCTACTTCCCCATCCCCTAATTCCCCCATCATTTCTGGGATGTGACTTTTGAACCAAAAGATAGTAATTTACATTCAAATTCTAAAAGAAGTTGACCACCCTAGTGGTACAGGGGTTAAAGTCTCAGCATTATCAAGCTATTCCCAGCCACTCAAGGAAGAGTTAGATCCCCTGGCTAGGATGCTAACCCATATGGTGAGCTCACCTCTCCACCACTCTCCTCAGCAATATATTTCAGTAAATCCACCTGTTATGTTCCCTACTTTGTCTCCGGTGAATCCTCTTAACCTCACCACTTTTGGCCCACACCTGTTCTTATAAGCATAAATAAGTAAAAATAAATGTTAAGAAAAAAAAAGAAGTTGACATTGAGATAAGTACTGAATGTAGTTTATGTGGGAAATGATCCCACAAAATACCAACAGTGAAGGAGAAGTAAGTCAATAAAGCCTACAATATCAAATATTAAGTCATCTACCCTAGTAAGCAATGGGAGCACAGACACAGGGACCTAGTGTAGAGTATACTTCAGAATGACCCCACCCAATAAACTCAGAAGTTGAGGTTTTTAGCTAAGTACTCCCTGTTTATATATTGAAACTTCTTGCTTGCTCTCAAGCAGGTCTTGTATGCTCTTGTGGCCAGGAGGAAAATAATAATAACAAAAGCTTTCAGAGAGAAGGCAATCATATGGACAGGCCACCAGAATACCTGTTTGTGGAAACTATCCACCTTTTCCTACAGATGAGGAAATTTCCTCAACTATGTAGGAATTGAGTACATGAAGGTAACTGAATATTCTGAATAGCAAGAAGGATGTTTGATCATATTAAAGACAAATGCATGCATATCTTTGCATCTTTATATAATGCATAGCAGAACCAAACTGCAATCAAAACTAAAGGAAATAACACTTAATGAGCACCAACATGTGCTAGATGCTGTAAGATTATTCTTATAAAGTAATTAAATAGAAAGAATTAGGAGCTTCTAGAGATTTCTGAGTCACAAAACGCTGAGCTTCGTTTTTATATGTACAAGATTTCTTACCATGGCAAATATTTAATTTCTCAGAAATTTAATTTTCTAGCTCTTAAATAACTAAGCATTATTCAGGCATTAACTTAGATTATAATAGATAGTACAACTTAACACATGCATGCTCTATGTATAAGCACAATCACACCTGCACACATATACAGTCTTTATGTACATATACAAATGACATATACAAATACGTATGTAACTGTTAGCCTGGTTATCTTACAGAACTGAGGTTACTGCATCTCATGGCTACGTGACCTGTCCAAGGTGATTCAACAAGTGAGAAAATAAGCAAAGGCCTCAGAAGTATATCCTGATTATTCCAAGAATCTTTTTTCAAAGATGGGTAACAAGTGGAATCAAAATTAACTGCAAAGTATTATGAGTACCAAACTTAGTCAAATCTTTAAAAATAGATGAATAATTTTTAAATATTGAACACCTCATTTTAATAATAAATATGGTCTGACTTAAGTTCAAGTTGAGTATCACAAGTTTTTATTCTTAAGAGATATTTCAAATAAATATGAAAGCATTTTGAATGTAGCAGAGGCTCATATAGGTGTGATCACCTAGTGAAATTCTTAGTTTCTGAAATATATTTACAGAATTCTTAGAAAAATAATGGCAACCACATGAACAATCAATACCTTGTATATATTAAAAAAAGAAAAAACGCTGCCACCACCACCAAGTCGAAATGTGTATTCTATTCAACATACCTCACATTTTTCCACAATGAGAAATTCTATTCTACAGGATGATCATAGGCCAGAATAACAGATACAAATTCAATTACTGATAAGCCATTCAAAGAGGCTAATAGTTTTTCTAATTATCAACTAACACTGCAAATTTCTTAAAACATTTTTTCTTCAGCTTTGGTCAACCAGACACCTTACTTTACCAGTCTATGAGTATTTTTTTTCTCAATATATGTGCTTTTCCTTAAAAAAGATATGGGATTCATTTATTATCCTCTATGTAACATCCATACCCCTTTAGACTACTAACATAAAAAGAAAGAAGACCATAATCAATGGTCAAGATAAAAATCCCCTGTGTAGGGGGACAGGATTTGGTACTAAGAGCTGTGATGTTGAGGGAAAGGAAGGGAAATTCCCAGTGGCAGGTGAACACATTACCCAGTGGTGAGTGAGGAGGAGATTTTGAATTGGACCAATAATGGTTCTTTTAGGTAATTATAATAGAACATCAGTATCAAGCTGAACTTAAAGAAAACATTACAACTGAATTAGAAGCCCTTAGTATATTATTTTAAACGAGGAAATGTGGCATGTGATGCATGAAATGACTATCACAGAAAATATGAAATTCAATAAAACATCAAATGGACATTTTTAATAATGAGACAATAGGCTGTGGAATTTCAGAAGTTTAACTAGGCAACAGATAAAACATATGAGCCATATTTTGTTACCAATAAGTGGAAACTTAGTTTTAACTGTATGACAGACTCAATCGATTAAAACAGATAACGTTAAGATAAGGCTGGGTCATGCTATACAAGCACCTTTATTTTTGTTAGTTACCTATTCAAATTAAGAATTTCCCATTACAAAACTGGCCATTTCCCCTTACTACCTGTTAGATAGTTACAAGGATTGTCCACTTGTAACTCCAACTGTTTAAAGAGCCTAAAATTCCCAGTGGCAGGTGAATACAGACAGGAAAGTCCAGGGGTACCTGAAATTTTAAGTTTCTAATGCGCTTTTTAAACAACTTACCTACATTTTCGAATTTGATTGCCAACACTTAAGGGGAAAAAATTAAAAATATTGGCATTGACATGACGTGCCTTTTCGAGATACTGTACCAGCCTTATACACACCCTAGGAAAAGCACTGATAGACAAAAGAACAAGCTCCCCATGGATGCAATAAATGCACTGCAAGGATAAGAAAGTGGAAAGAGTTCCTTGTCTCTAGCAATACTCCACAGTCAAAATGGAGAGTCACATCAGAGCCCCTTTTACTCCCTCCCCCAGCCTCTGGTTGCCTCTTGCTCCTCTCCCTCCTCCCCGCCTCCCAATTTCTTTGCTCCTCTCCCTCCTCCCCGCCTCCCAATTTCTGTCTCTCCCCCAGCAGTATTTCCAGAACACCACTCACCTGTCGTCGTTTTGCCATCCTTGGTCTCCCAGCAGCAGATCCCGAAACCTGTACCTGGGAGGCAGAGGGGGCACTTCGCTCTCTAAATCCACCATCCTCCCTCAAAGAGTGGGAAATATAAAACAACAAATGGAGGAGAGGGGGAAGACAGAGAGAAAATGCCGAGGGGTGGGAAAGAGGACAGCCAAGAGGTGGGGGCCGAGAGAGGGGCGGGAGCGGCGAAGGGCCCCGGGCCGAGGGCCGGGGGGGCGCTCGAGCCGGAAGCCGAGACTGCCTGGGGCTGGCTCCCCTCTCCGAGGGTGCGATGGGGATGATGCAAACCCAGCCCGGGAGCAAAAGTCTGGCTCCGACTAGAATCGGCGCTGCCAGGGAACCGCCCCCAGGCTCGGCGCCGCCTCTGGTCCCCAGGACTGGGGGGAGGCGGGAAGGCAAAAGTTACTTCCCCGGAAAAATAAAACAAACGCGTGGAGCCTGGAAGGAGGGCGGGGGCGGGGGTTCGTGCTGCGAGCCGGGGAACACTTTGCCAGCCCGCAGGTTAGGACCCCGCTCGGCGGGCGGCGGGTCGGCCGCCGTCCCCCGAGCGGACGCGCGCACCCGGCTCGGCT